ATTTTAATGTCTCAAGATGTGAGTATGATATCTGCTATCTGAGTGACAGGGGCTGGAGATTAACAGGTCATCAGTATAGATAACTGGGATGGGGTTTGGGGAGCAAAGAAAGAGAGCAGGAAGTGGTTGTAAATGGACAGTACCAGACCACTCATAAGAGAAGATGAGCATAACAGCTAACTGGAGATTATAGAGAGAGGACAGAGTCAGAGAGACATGCAGAAAAGAAAAAGAGAAGAGTAGGAGAAAAAAAGGATAAAAGAAGAGAATACAGAAACTGGGAAGAATAAAATGAGGGTACAGACAGCCAAGCTCCAACAAAAATGACTGTACCTATATGCAAAGAAAAGGAGAAGTTCACGGGATCGTGACAAATGTAAATATTAGTAGGATGGTGAAATGCTAAAAAGAAATTGAAGATAACCGTCTCAGTAATTTCAAGCCTTGGATCACCTCCAAGGACTTCTGCTATAATTTTCACAAATGATCTACAAACCACTTGGGGCATGGATGTAAGCTGCCCCTCTGTGTTCCTGAAAAAATAAAAACCAACTCTCTTTCGATTTAAAGACAATTGCCAACTTAACTAAGATTTTTCATTTAAGCAAGATATTCTTCTTAAGACAGAATTCTGTTGGTTTACTACTCTAGTCTGACCATATTTACCACTAAATTGAGTTGCTATTTCTCAATTCAAGCAAACTTGCTATTAAAAATTTATTAAAACTGAGGGCAACTTAATTCTAGTCCATTTATCTTGACTGAGGAAAAGTTATATTACAGCACTCACGAGCATGGACTCAGAAACCAAACTGCCTAGGTTTGCATTCTGGCCCCTCCACTCACACTAGCTGTGTGGTCTTACATATGTTATTCAACGTCTCCATGCCTCAGTTTGTCTATAATATAGAATATGAGGGTACTTCAAAAAGTTCATGGAAAAACAGAATGGAAAGATAATATAAATTTTCCCATGAGCTTTTTGAAGTACCCTTGTACTAGTGCTACTTCATAGGGTTATTATAAGGATTAAATGACATAAACTATTAGAACAGTGCCTCACATAGTAAGCTCCATATAAATATTAGCTACTGTTGGTACTACCATTACTACTATTAATATTACTGCTTCTTTTTCTTCTACTACTACTATCACCACCGTCACCAGCACCACTACTCCCACCACCACTGCCATATAAATATTAGCTACTGTTGGTACTACCATTACTACTATTAATATTACTACTTCTTTTTCTTCTACTACTACTATCACCACCGTCACCAGCACCACTACTCCCACCACCACTACTATGGGAACAAGAGAGAGAATTTCTATATTACTGCTTCTTTTTCTTCTACTACTACTATCACCACCGTCACCAGCACCACTACTCCCACCACCACTACTATGGGAACAAGAGAGAGAATTTCTGATAGACGAAACTAGTTACGTCAACATAATGTGCTCCAGATTACAAAGCTCTTTCTCTCAAGAGCTCTGTGAGAGGTTTTATCCCTCGTTTCTAGAATATGAGGCTCAAAGCGGTTATTTGACTAGTTTAAACCACACAGAGAATAAGTAGTACAAGTAAAATTTAGACTCAGACCTCTGAACTCTTTCTACTGCATCATCTACTGCCTGGAATAATGAGACTTGGTAGAATACCAAGTAATTACTAAAAATAAAGACGGATATAAATAAATTGTTTAGATCCTCCAATTCCGCCTCACCAGCGGGTAGCAGAAGCCTCTAGATCAAGGGTGCGGGAGGTAAATCTCCTCATCTTCCCTGTCCCTATGTCCAAATACATGTCCCTACATCCACTCTTCTTCACTTACTCTTGCATATTGCTGAATCAGAGGACTTATGTTAATTTTGAAACAATTTAGTCCAACTACATCAGATTTAAGAAGAGAATGCTGAGTCTAAAGAATAAAACATAAAACCCCTGAAGCTCCCATCTAAAGAGAATCGAGCTCTATTAATTCTTTTAATATATTGTCTTTCATATTCTCCCTATTTTTACATTCCCATTTTTATCATCTTCATTCAGGTTCTTTACATTGTACTCACAAACTAATAAAACTGCCTCACATCCAATATACTACCGATTTCTTAATCTTCCTGAAATACCATAAAGACTCTGAGACACCTTAAAGGCAAAGACTATTTCTTTATATACTTTCCACAATACCTAACATAAAGTTATGCTTAATAAATAGCTATTAACTTAAAAAAATGAGGTCATTGAAGGAAGAAGGGTAAAGAAATATACTTTTCAAAGGAATTGGTATCAAGATTTTTCTAGCATTTTTATAAATAATATGGAAGTGAAAACACTGAAAATATTGAAAATATTGAAATCTCCAAGTTTATTAGTGCTACTTTTCTGACATAAAAAGACTGAATAAGAACTACCACTATAGTATGAACTTACTAAAAATTGGCCAATATACAAAGAAACAGATTTAGAGGAAAACTGATGCATAGATGTAAACAGGGGCCTGAGAGACCACCACATTGTATTTCTGAAGACAATAGTTTAATTTACCATAGAGACCAAGAAAAGCAATAAAATGTTTTTGGTTTTTTTAGAGTTCATTCATTGTACAAATATTTATTGAGTGCTTGTGTGTGCCAGGTACTGGGATTACAGTGTGATCAACAAAAAGCATATCCCTGTCCTCGGGAGGTTTACAGAGGAAACCTGTTTATATTCTCATAAACAACATAAAACTAAAATATGTGCACAGAGCCTGAGTAAGCTCATAAAAAGGGGAAGGAGTTAATTTTGATGGGAAGGGCAGAGAAGGCTTTCCCCTGGAAGTTTTAAGTTGTGCATGAAGAATAAGCAGGAGTTGGCCAGGAAAGAATGAGATCAGAAACTTTTAAGGCAAAAAGAACATCATGTACCTGAGGTGGGAAAAAGCCTCACTTGTGTAGGAAGGGAAAGAAAGCCGGGAGGGCCGAGTGGTGTAAGATGAGGCGGGAGGGCAGCCAGATCATAAAAGCCTTCCTATGGATGTTGTCATAGACTATGGATTTTAGCCCAACTACAGTGAGAAACCCCTAGTGCCACTGAAGCAAAGGCACTAAAAACATAAATCATTACTGATCTCATGGAATGTGTATACTTACCTAACTTGACAAAGTTCGACTAGATGCTTCATATGTTAAAAAAAAAAAGAAAAAAAAAAACTTGGAAAATAGTCCAATATACCAACCAAGCAAATAAAAGGACATCTATAAAGGCAGAGAAAAAAAATTTAACTAGAAGCCAGGCCACAGCACAGACAACACAATATAACTGGTAAATTTAATGCCATTTTTTAACATAATACTTTGGATATATTTTCAAGATGCTAATTCTAGCATATAAAATAAACCTTCAGCAAATTCATATTTATTAAAATAATACATATTTGTAAGGTGTTATTTAAGGGATATGGAACAAGTTAAAATTCATCATCTATTGTTGATGTTCAAGAGACCACAAAATTATTATTATATCCCAACATAAACATATCAAAAATTTAGTAGTAGTTGTTCTTTTGTAACTGAGTTAGGAACGATGACAGTGTAAAGATTAAGGTGTAAGAGGCAGGAGTTGAAAAACTATTTCTTGAAAGAAGACAACCAGGAGAACAGAGAGGATGAAAAGGAGGAAAAAAATCCTATTGAAGATCCCACGAAAATCTGATATCCATAGCACAGAGTTATTAATCAGAAACAACTACAAAAAACATATCCAGAAGTAAAGTAACATGAAAAGTACCTGCAAAACCTGACAGGTCAGTAGAAAGTGATGAACCACTTGAGCTTTCAATAACGGCTTAATGTTAAACACCTGCTGGTGGTGATCTGCTTGGATGAGGACTTCCAAAGCCGCTAGCAGGGTTTCCCAAACACCTTGCTGAGAAAATAAACACACTCCAATTAGGACACAGTTACTGAAAAACATGCTGCATGCTTTTTAGAACACACACAATATAACAATTTAACACTGTGTATATATTTAGTGTCAAAGATTAAATTTGTCTGAAAAAAACAAATCATAAGATTTATCCTCTATTATTTTCTGTTGTCAACAGGTCATTTCTATATACCTATATTGAATGCAATATGGTATTCACTGCTTTAGTATATTACCCTTTCTTTGATGTTAAATGATATATAAGTATTTTCAAAACATGAATGACCTTGAGAGAATTATTCAAATTAGAGAAGCCTACATATGATCAATATAATTATTTTCAAATAATTTATGTTCAAAGAGTGTTATGAAAACTGTATAAATTTCAATGCTAATTGGCATATGCAGCATTTAATGAAATAATTTTAGAACCAACAGTACTAAATTGAAAAGTCACAAACAATGTGAAAACTCTGCTTTTGGATTAATTTACTTTTCAGTCCAAATAATAAAATTCTCTGCACGATTACAAACTGCATCTTCAAAGAGTAGTTAGCATGCTTTAAAGGTGCTTTAAAATGCTCTCCCATATTGAATCAACCTTAAATCATCCACAATACGAGAGAAAAAGAACTTCATAGATAACTAATATTGAAAGATAATCTTCACCTCACCTTATTACCCTAATTGACCTTTCAACGAAGCAGTTAACAAGAAGCTTGGGTTGCAGGTCTTAGTATTTCTCCTGCCATTATCGGACAGTAATAAACAATGAAAAGGCCAAGGAACTGATGGAATTAATTATACTACTCTCACCAAGTCCTCTCTCCTCATAGATAAGATGCTGTAAAAGAAAAAGCCATATGAAAACTGGGAGACAAGGCAGCCTAAGTAGGAAAACTTGATTCAAACAGGTTTGAAAAATAGTGCCAATGTAAACAAATCACCACCACCACCAACAAAACAAAAATCAAACTCGGTTCAAAAACAATTAATTAGATAAGAAAATATTTCAAATCCAAAAGTGTCTTATTAATTCTGAATTTAAAAAAAATGTTTTTTTATCAGACAACCCCAAATTTGCTTGTCCTTTTGAAATACTAAATAAGCTAACTGTCCCTCATTTAATTAGGTTAAATTTTCCAATCTGTAACTGAGTACATTCTTTATTATATAATTTTACTGCCTTTGATCTAATTTGTTTACGTATGCTATCCCTGCATTGATTTGCTTTCTCTCCCTGCAATATTACACATATTTTTATCTATCTACCAATCTATCTCTATGGTTATTTTATGTTTAAAAGTGAATATTGAAAATGAGAATAGGAATCACAACAAATTACAAAGTTTAAAAAATTGACAAATACCATAAATACCACAAAATACGGAAAAATAGCAATAGTTTTTAAGCTGCTTTTTAATACCTTTCTCTTATGCTTTGTAGCTGCACACTTTTTGATTGCTTCTTCATATAACAATAATTTTGTAATATAATTTTCTATAGGAATAGAAAAATAATTTTCTTTCCTCTAGTAAGTTTGAGCTAAATTTATTTTATAATTACAAATAAGAAAACTTCTTTTAGCTTCACAACTTGTTATTGATGATGTTAAATTTTTGGAGACTATTGCCAAACTTGCAAATAATACATTTTTAAAAAATTCTAAAGATATATATTCTGAATTGCATTTTAAATAATTATGTTTGATAATAATGTTGTTATATTCTACTTCTAGACAATCTAGTTTTTTCAAAAATCACCAATACCTACTAGAACCCTGCCACACTCGGGAGGAGGACAGTCTACACTATAACTAAGAAGACTGGGTGAGCCTATTCCAGTAAGAATGTTTACAACTACGGCAGAAAGGAAACAACCCTGCACTTAATTCCTGGCTGGGTCCTTGTGAAGACCAGTTTCTCCATTCTAGGTGTTGAGATTCAGTGCCCAGACTTAACATCTATCTATGTTGCTTACTCCATGCTTATGATGAGGCCTTGCCCTATACACAACAATCCCAGCTCTGCCTCCTGGCCAGCATGGTCCCCCATTCAGAAGTATGTCCATTTCCCTCTCCTGGACCTGACTCCCCAGACTCTTAACAGGCTCTCCTTTCAGAGTTTATGGGAAATATAAACTCCCAACTCATCCAAATGAGCCCATATGCTCTTGGCTGAGTACAGTGCTCTCAGCCAGCCCAAGTTCTAATCTTGACCTTCCAGCTCAGCAGTACTCATGGCTGTTCAAAACTTTGAATTGGAAATATCTACAGATTTCCATTCATAATTAACATAACATGGAAGTAGTAAATTCATTCTTTTCTTCAGAAGAATTAGATGAATATTTAAAAGTACACGTCTCTATTTATAGCAGCTAAAAATGTGGAAGCTATCTAAGTGTCCCTTGATGGATGAATGGCTAAGCAAAATGTAGTGTATCCATACAATAGAATATTACTCAGCTTTAAGAAGGAAGAAAATTCTGACATAGGCTACAACAGGGATGAACCTAGAGGACATTATGCTAAGTGAAATATGCTAATCACAAGAAGACAAATCCTATATGATTCCATCTATATGAGGAACTTAGAGTAGTCAAAATCATACAGTCAGAGAGAGAATGGTGGCTGCCAAGGGCTGTGGAAAGGGAGGAATGGGGAGTTATTGTTTAATGAGTAAAGAGGTTTGGTTTTAAAAGATGAAAATTGTTATGGAGATGGATGGTGGTGATGGTTGCACAACATTGTGAATGTACTTGATGCCACTTAAAAATGGTTACGATAGTAAATTTTATCTTATGTATACTTTACCACAATAAGAAAAAGAGGAAAAAGTACATATTACATGCCTCTGCTTTATTCCATATCTTCCTGTGAAGCAACAGCTCCTCTAATAGTTTCACATCTTGGATTATAGCACTGGACTCTATATCCAACTTAAACTCTCCATTCTCACTGATATGAGTAATATCTTCACCGCAGCAAACTTCAACAAGGGTCTATGGAAAATCAGCATTAATATACCATGTATTAACAATGATTAACCAAAAAGTTTAACAGAAACATTAAGCTTTCAATCTTAGCAGTCATAACATTAAATTCAAAGGAAAACAGGTAAATAATTCAACATTTCACGAAGTATCTTTAATTTGTTTTGTAAAACAACTTAAATAAATAGAAAACCCCAACCTTTCAAATATTTGTTATTACTTGGTTTCACACATGGAGTAAAACAAACTACATTCTATTTTTATGTTTTCAAATGAATTAAACTGCTGTTAGCCTTTAAAACCTTTTCAGAAAAGTAGTAAGGATTCATGCCACACATGTGTGGATCTTGATAGTTTGAAGAGGTAGGTGTGGGGTGCAGGGGTAGAGGAACCATCTTTTGCCTTAGTATCCCTTTCCTCAGAGGCAAATATTTTCACAATGTTACCAAATGCTGACAGCTAGAAAAAAGTTTAAATATATGATGACAGCGGGATCATATTAAAAATTAACACAGACATCTGTGACTTTAAAACTAACTCTGTAGCAGCATTGCCTAATGGAATGGTGTGTCTCTAGATATCTGGAGAACTGGGTTCTTTCCCAGCACTGTGGGAGCTGAAGCAAACAATTTCATCCATCTACAGAATGCGGGGCCAGGCTGGCAGGCGTCTGTGGTCCATCCAGATCTAAAATTCTATGAGTTTATTTTTTTTTTCTTACTTTTCTAAAATGCTTTAAAGAAAAGAAAAATATAATCATTTAAAGATAAAAAAGAACCAGAAGGGTACCTTAGTTTGAGTAAATATACCCTTAATGAGTTTCCTTCATTTACTTCAGGAATAACTGAAACACAAAACTATCACTGGAAGACTTTGATGAAGAGATGAGTATCACTGCAAATGAAACTATGAAAATAAATTTTTTGAGGTCATACATTCAAAATGTGATAGCCAATGATGCATTTTCGTTTGATCAACACCTGATGAATCATGCAAAGTCCAGGACAGTTTTCTAACTCCTGTACTGTTGGTTGTACTGAATTAGTGAGAGTATAACTTGCAGTGCTAATGCTTGAGTTTCTTCACAGGTATTGAGTTCAAAACCTAAAAAAAGCAGATATATTTTTCTCCTGACTTGTTGATAGTAAAATTTAACATGTGCGATTATAACCTTTATGTGATATCAATCTAACGGTGTCTATGAAACTTTATTTTTTAATAGTCACATTGTAATAACTGAAGAATTGTGGATAAACAAAACTAAGCAAGGGGCATAAATTCCATTCTCTTTAATCTCTTTAGTACATTATAAAGGGACTAAAATAACATTAACAACCTTAGAGGTCAGTAGCATTTTATAATTAGTGATCTGAATTGTCAGTAAAATGTTTCAAGTTTTCAGTAGAATAGTCAATCAACAAATAAACTCTACGTAAAAAGACATGATGCTTGCCCCCTGTGGGGCCTACTGGTCTAGTCAGAGATAAGACCTACATGTAAAAACCACATATTATGCCTCATACTTCAATTCAGCCAACACTTTCTGACAACTACTGTACATAAGAAACATACACCCATTATCACGATAAAAGGCAAAGAATGAGACAAAGGAAATGCCATGAGAGCACAGAAATCACTTCTGACCCCTACCTCCTTGGTTTAGGAAGGCTATGAGGAGAGGAGATGGTCTGGAAGGAGAGCCCAGTCCTGGAAAAGCAGAGATAAAGGGGTGGCTGGGATGCAGCCTGGAGAGGGATAAAGGCCTGCACTGGAAGTCCATGGGACACCAAGGAGGCTGCAGACTGCCTGTTCGGCTGGATGATGGACATCAGGTTCAAATGACAGGCTATGCATGTAAGGATTTCAAGGAGACTGAAGTTTATTTTTGTAGGGGAGGGAAAGATACAACGTTCTTAAGTTTTAAATGTGAAAACATACTTTAAGTATTGGCAAGATCCTAATATATGTAAGATAAAATTTAACCATTTCTTTAGGATCCAATCACTGTATTGGTAATCATAACAAAATCATATCAAAAATCTTGATGAAAGAGGAAAGACCAAGGATATACATTTTGAAATTGTACAACGATATAAAAGGGGATTACAAAATGTTAATGAGGAGTTAAAAAGCTTTAAATTTTAAAACACGAGGGGAAAATCTATTCTTCTAAATAATACATGCAAAGAAAGTATGCAAAAGGAAAAGGAGGAAAAGATGACAGCTTACAGAGTATGGTAGGTCAAGTGCTAACAAGATATTTATAAGAACACTAACAGCAAACATTGATATGCCCCTTATGCAAAATTAATCAAGGTGGAGCTGTTAAAGAAAGAAAGCCAGTTAGGGAGACAGTGTGAAAATTTGATAAGGTTGCAGAAGCTATACTTAGGGGTAGGCGTTCTGAGGATAAAGGAAGATGGAGGCTGCTTTAATTAAACAGGGATATGGACCCCAAGGAAGGAGAAATGATTTGTGCCAAAATGAAATCATTTGTGCCCCCTATTATGGATTTTAAAAATCTCTGAAAAAGTCAATATATAATTATTGACTGCCTACTCTGCATCAGGTAAGTCATTGTCCTTGCCCTCCAATAACTAAATAGAACAGATATTAAATGATTTACTCTAAAACGGTACTTATGGCCTGAGTCAAACTTTTTATATTTCTCCTATTTAAACAAACTACAGACCCAAATAAATAAAAATTTCTTAAAATTTTTTTTACCTTTGGTTTTTTCCCCCATGCATTAGAAAGCTTTAAGAGATAAATGTTTCTTTTTCATATATACCTTATTTTTAAAAATACATTTCTTTCATCTCATTACTACAGCATACATTTTTCTTTCCAAAGGCAATTTAAAATCTCATACATTTAACATTTTAATTGTTCTGATAACATTTCTGGATAAAAGAAAACTTCTAAAAATCTGCATAAATTAGAAGAAACCATAATCATCTGTGGCAGAAAGCTTGATGACATCTTTTTTTTTTTTCCTTTTTGTCTTTTTTCGTGACCGGTAACGGGATCGCAACCCTCAGTGTTGCGCCCGCACCGCGCTCAGCCAGTGAGCGGACCGGTCTCCATATGGGATCCGAACCCTCGGCAGGAGCGCCACCACGCTCCCAAGCGCCGCACTAAACCGAGTGCGCCACCGGGCCGGCCCAGATGACATCTTTAATATGCTTTTTTTAATGCTAAAAATTTAATATAGTTGACTGCAGCTTTTTTTTTTTTGGTATCCCCCCAAAAAACACCCCTCTTTATCAATAATAAAGATGTAGGTTCTCCTTGCACAAAACTATAATCAGTGATTCCTACCCTAGCAAAGAGAAAAACAAACATACCAGTTCCACCAATCTCATGCAGAATGCCTTTAATAGTTTTACATTCGGTAGGCTGGAGATTCTTTAGATGATGAGGTTCTCATAAGATGCTCTGAACTTCTTTTGAGCTGAAGGGTCTTTGAGAGCTGAGTTTTCATCTGACTTTTAAGTCGAATCACTGGCTCATAGATGGTATAACGGGAGCAGGACAGTAAATTGTATAAACAACTGAAAGACTTCCCTGAAACAGAAACATTTTCCTTCAGAAACTTAACACAGTTTTTAAAGTTATCAACTAGCAAATAAATATTTCAAAGTGAAAAAACACTCAACTGATCTTTTTGTCTTAAAAAAAGACAGCTACTGCACTAAACCAAGATGAACGTGAGGATCCAGGCTGCTTTCCTCAAAGGAAATAATCAGTTTCTCTGAGTAGTGATCACTCGTATAAACACATCAAGACTGAGAAGGGTTCAGCTTCGA